GGGGGTCACCACAACATGAGGAACTGTATTAAAGGGTCGCGGCATTAGGAAGGTTGAGAACCACTGTGTTAGAGTCTTCACAGATTAAAACAATTTTTTTCAAATAAAAAATTTCAATGTCAAGAATAAATGGGCCAAGAGCACATACTACACACTGGAACACGACTCGGTCACGATAAAGAAGGAATCCGACATGTGCCACCTCCTCTGCGAATCCTGAGGGCAGGAGGCTGTCAGAGGAAGACAAGTACTGTGTGATCTCACCTACATGCAGAATCGCAAAACAAGAAGCGAATTCCCCCGGAAAGCATCCCCGCTGACACCTTCCTTGGTGTCCTGCCCGCCAGGTGCTGGTGGGAGGCACAGACCGGGTCAGTTCCTATGGGTGTGAGCCCAGCGCTCACCTGCCTCCTGTCACCTCGGGAGCCTGAGCCACGCCCACAGGGCTCTTATATTTTTGATATTTATTTTATATATTTAAATGCCATTTAACAAAGAAAAATCAACCAAAAAAATGAGTTCGCGTGTCACCTCTGACACGCGTGTCGTAGGTTCGCCATCACTGGGATAGAATGTCGGCCTGCGGCCTGAGGGGTCCCGGGTTCAATTCCAGTCAAGGGCACGTACCTCGGTTACAGGCTCCTCCCCAACCTGGGCCCTGGTTGGGGCATGTGCAGGAGTCAACCAACCAATGTGTTTCTCTCACATTGATGTTTCTATCTCTTTCCCTCTCTCTAAAATTCAGTGAAAAAATATCCATGTCCTGAGATGGCTTTACGTTTTAAGTAGCTGGCTCCAGGGGGGCCATAAGCGGATACAACCACCCAGCTGAGTCAGCTGCTGAACACAAATATTGTTTCCTTGCCCGGGGAGGAGCAGCATGTCGGGCAGTGAGACGGGAAATGGAAATGAAACGGTCGCCACCCACACGGTGGTCAGTGTCCACGGGCCTCCTTCGTGGCGGCCTCTGGCTGGTCGTGCTGGCTTGGGGACTGTCCCCGCAGACGTGGCAACTGCGGCAGCAAACGCCGATCTGTCTGAGTCAGAAGCTCTGACATCGGCCCCGGCCGGGTAGTTCAGTTGGTTAGAGCGGCGACCTGATATGCCGAGGTTACGGGTTCCATTCCCGGTCAGGGCACATACGAGAATCAAGCCACTGATGCATAATAAGTGGAATGACAAATCAATGTCTCTCTCTCTTAAATCAATTAAAACAATAAAAAAACTAGACGTGCAACCCAACACTGCACCCTGGGCATTGGTGCCGGAGAAACGGAGACTCACATTCGCACAGAACCTGCACATGAATGTTCACAGCAGCTTTCTCTCTATTAGCCTCAAACTGGCAACAGCGCGGATGTCCTTCAACAGGACAGCGGTTAAACCACCTGCGGTACGTCCACACCACGGGACAGACCACAGGCGACAAAGGGAACAAACCTTCGACACAACAACCCACCTGACTCTCCCGAGAATGACGTGTTACCCATCCCACAGGTAATTCCCTGGAGATAACATTTTCAAAATGACAAAATGGTGTAAATGAAGAAGAAATTATTGGTTGCCAGGGACTGGGCAGGGTGGGGTGGAGGGGAGAGGAGTGCGTGTTATAAATGGACAACAAAGGAACCTGTGCGGTGAAGAAATGGCCCGGCCTTCACTGCGATGGAGTTGAGAACACTGGCCGCCTGCGAGGACCAGGAACAGGGGGAAACGGGATGGCCGTGGGCTGCATCGGTGTCATTGCTCTGGTTGTGGTTTGGGGCTGCAGTTTTATCAAATGTTCGTCACTGAGGGAACCTAGATCAGACACACACAGCCTCTCTCTCTGTTCCTTCTTACAACCCCTCTGCCTGTGAATCCCAGTGATCTCCGTAACAACTGCAATAAGAAGGAGGAAGAAGGCGGGCAGCCAGCAATTCCTTCTAGAAGTCACATGTGATGGAGTGCCCAGTGACCACAGCTGCTGCTCACAGAAATTAAAAACCCCAGGGGCTGGAAATTAACCGGCTCGGCGATGGCACACGGGCTAAAGAAGGATGAAGAAAATGCCCATGACTGTTTTGAAGCTGAAATATATGAAAGGCTAACACCTCTCCCAAACCTGGCACAGAGCCGAGACCCGCTCTGGGCAGCAAACAAAGGGGGTTGAAATGAGACGGCGAATGGCACCTCTGTGGGGCGCGGCTACAGTGTGTTGGGTTCAAGCCTCAGATTAATGAAAGGGCCCTCCCAGCACAATCATAGCCAACGGCTGTGGTTGTGAGCTTGAACCTATGGTCCAAACACGTGGCCCCACGTGCCTTGTGATAGAGTTCGGGTGCATGTAGTTGAGTAGGGTTGGAACTCACCCCTGCTTTGCCTCGTGGCATCTGCTATAAAATAAAGACACGGCTTGTGGGCGCTGTCTCCTCATCAGGAGATGGGTCCCACCGAGACCCAGCTTTCATTCTCTTGTCTGTCTTTTCTCAATCCTTTCACCCCCCCACTCAGGATCACCTTTGGCCGTAACACACCTCTCTGCCCTGGACAAGGGGAGGGGGCTCCTGCTCAGGTTTGCTCCTCTCCGGGGGGCAGAACCCGGGTTCTTCGTACCAAAGCCCCGTCTTGGCACAAGGGAACCACCCAACCTCCAGGCGCGTTTCTCCAAATAAGTATTTGGTCACAGAAGGGGGAGCACCTGTACCGCAGGGACGGTCCATGGTAACCAGGCAACCCGGGCCCCTGAGACGCGGAAGGGGCGCCTGGAGCAGGGGAGCCTCGCGCGGGGTACTCACTTGTTCTGCATCATGTTCATGATCACCCAGTCGAACGGGTACACGTTCTTCCCAATGAGGTTCTTGAACATGATGAAGGTTTCCATCAGGAAGTCCTGAAACAGAACGGAAACACTGAGACCGCCCGCGGGAGCGCGTGGACACCAGCCCGGCCGCCCGGCCCTGAGTAATTACAGGATGAGTGACCGTGCCCTCCACTGCTGAATGAAAACTTTCTAAAAAGTAACGCAATGTATTTCCCGGGCGCTGCGGACTATTTCTGTCTTTCTGTTTGCGCAGCACCTCCCATCGGGGGGAACTTTTCCAAAGACATGATTGAAAACAGTCCCCGGCATGTCTCTCTAATAAAGAGTGCCGTCCCCAAAGATTACAGGTATGTTGTATTCACACACTTTCTGCTTATAGGAAAATATTGTTTACAAACATAACATGAAGGTTATTAATAGTTCTTATAGTGTCCGGCCGGTGTGACTCAGTGGTTGAGTGTTGACCTATGATCCAGGAGGTCACGGTTCGATTTCCAGTCAAGGGCACATGCCTGGGTTGTGGGCTTGATTCCTAGTAGGGGGCGTGCAGGAGGCAGCCGATCCATGATTCTCTCTCATCATTGATGTTTCTCTTTCTCCCTCTCCCATACTCTCTTATATAAAAAAGCAATAATTCTTATATTTACTCTACTTCCATTTCTCATTATCAACAGGCCCTAGCCAGCTGAATATGGGATCTTATTGTCCATTCTCTTTCCTTATATAACTTAGCAAATAAAAGAACTCCCGCCCACTTGTGCCTAGTCAGCTCGCCCTGAACCATCGAGCAGATGGTGGCACCGCCAGCCCTTTCTTATGGCAGCGACAGCCCACAGGCTACTCAGCCGTGACCCGCTGCCTCCCTGAGGGTCCTGTGCTCTCCTCAGTCACGCTCCACTGTCCGCCCGGCATCCACGCTAGGATGCAGCCTGGCATCGGGAAGGGGCGCCCATTTCCTCGGGCTCCCCCCTGTGCCTGCCAGGAGGAGAGCGTCTCGAATCTGACAGCTTGGCACCGGCTCTGAGCTCACCGGAACCAAACAAGTGGTTACCCCGAAGCGCACGCATCTGGGAGCCCGCACGCCCCCTGGAGGCCTGGGGAGGAGGAGGAGGAAAGGCAACTGAGAGTCACTCAGAAAGGTGCGGCCCAGGTGAGAGGTGGCGAACCAGTGCCCGCCGCTCATTCACGTGACCCACGGAATCGGGATCCGGTGCCGTGGCTGTGAAGACCTGGGAGGTAAACGGAATTTCAGAAGCCAAGGAAGCAATTCCCAACACAGAGCTGCAAGGACTTCTGGTGGAGAGACACGAGCTAGACTTGAGAGCAAGAATCGCCAAGGTCCAAGGTTCAGACGCTCTCTGCAGCCTTAACACCAGAGCCAGGCCCCTCCCACGAATGAAAACTCGGGGAGCGCTGGCCGGTGTGGCTCAGTGGCTGAGAGTCAACCTATGAACCAGAAGGTCTTGGTTCAATTCCCGGTCAGGGCTTGATCCCAGTGGCGGGGGGTGGGGGGCGGTACGTGCAGGAGGCAGCCGATCAACGATTCTCATCTCTCCCTCCCTCTCCCTTACTCTCTGAAATCAATAAAACTATATTTAAAAAGGAAAACTCAAGGAGCAACTATGACCACCCTTTTGACAAGAGGCCACCAGTTGAGGGGACCTTAGGGACGGTCAGCCCACTGTCCCCCCAACCCAGCTCCCACATGTTCTGGCCACCAGCCCTCCAAGCAGGGGTGCCTCCCCCACACCACCCATGGCTCCTCTCCCCGGTTTAAATATTGAAATTCATATTTCACTCCTTCAGTTCCCCACTTTCTCAAGAGTCTCCCATTTTAATGACCAGTTTGCAGATTCCGCCGGCTGAGTGCGGTAATTTCGTCGCGCCTCCATTTGCATGAAATTGCCCGCTTTCTTGCTGATCGCTCCTCCGAGCCTAATAATTGAGACACAGGGTCTGGTTCTTATTATTCCGGAGGCGACGCCTCTTTCCCCAACGCCTTCCGCTCCTCCCCCGGGAAACCGCCCCCCGCCTCATTAGCGGGGCTCAGCTGCTCCACGCGCGCACTTTGCTGATCACACGGAATGCTGTGCCTTGTGGGCGATGGGAGCTGCTGGGCGTCCGTGTCGTCTGCATCGCTTACAGCCGTGGCCGTGGGCCGCGCCGTCTCATCTGCCTCCCACAGGGGACGTGGCTGTACAGACTATGCCGGTGGCATTTCCAAGTCCACAAGGGGAGACGGGGGGACGCGTAGGAGGTGTTTGTGAATCCATCTTCCAGGCCAATCCACGCCTGCGGCGTCTCCTGCTTTGCTCGTGGAGAGGGTCCCACCGCCTAAGTGGGCAGCTCCGACAAGAGCCATCACTGTACTGTCTGGGCCAAGCCTTCTTGTCACGCACCCAGCTCCTTCCGTGCGTCCCGTCCCCACCCACTGAGCCAATGGCCTCTCTCACCGACCAGCCAGAGGGCAATCCCAGCCCTTCTACCTGTGTCCACTCTTGTCCCTCGTGGTCCCTACACGTCACCCAGAGTGATCTGTTCAGATTGCAAGTCTGGTCCAGGCACCCACCCTCCCCCCATCTCCCACTGAACCCCCGTCCCAGTGTTCTTAAGGACGGAGCCTCGTGACACTCAGAAGCGGAAATCACCACTCTGCTTCCCGGTCCTGGCTCCAGACAAGGACCCTCGAAGGATGCTAAGCTCGTCAGATGAAGGCTTGTTGCGGGTGGAGTAACTGCCGACTGACTGTGGGTGACCTGACAAAGGGGCAGCTTCACCACGGGGAGACCTGGCAGGGCCCCCCTTTTACCCAAGGGATCAAACCACCCATCACCCGTAGGGGCCGGCTTGGCGTTTTCACCCCTCAATGCGCACAACAGGGAAGGACTCTTGCAAAAGGAGGGCCCTGGATTTCAGACAAAGCTTCCTGTCAACGAACAAGGCAGCACGTATCCCTTAAGAACGGGGGTCGTCGGCAAGATCGTTGGCCTGGTGTCTACCCAGAGCAATGCCTTGAAAGGAAGAAAGAACAGGAGACGAGAGGCGCCGAGGCGCATGGCGGGGCCTGGACTGGGCTCTGGTCTGGGCAGCCCCCGGGGAGGACGGAACATCGGGAAGTGAGGGAGTCGGAAGCCTCTGGAAAGGGGGTCGGCTGCCCTGTTCCGAAGGGCCACGGAGAGGGCTTCCTCTTGAGAGATGTTGGCGGAAGCTCCGAGGAGGAGGCAGGTTTCTCACAGGCTCCAGGGATCTCTGTACAGACAGAGCGACTCAGGGGAGGCCGGCAAGGTGAGTGCTCGCAGCGGCGGAGCTCAGGTGACAGGAGTCATGGAGTCATGGAGTCCATGGTCCCGGCCTTTCCACCTGCTCGCACGGGCGGTCGCTCCTGATAAGCACGTGGGGGCAGAGCACAAGGAAAACCAGGGAACGGGAACGGGGTCAGCGACTGCGTGGATGTCGATCGCAACAGCACCGATGATGTCCCAGGTGGCCTTGTGAGAAGCTGCTCTTACAGGAGAAACCGGGGAAGGCTACAGGGGCCTCTGCACTATCTTTTACAGCTGCACTTGACTCTACAGTGATCGGAAGATAAAGCGTTTACTCAAAGAATCAAGGCTTTGAAAGTCATTTTAAAACAATTAAAGGAAAAATAGCAAATAAATGACTTTTTTTAATAAATAAAAAGAAAGCAAATAAATAAAATATAACAAAAACAACAAAAAAACACACCAAACCCACAAAAAACAAGCAAAGTGCACAAGGCTGCTCAGCCCGGCGTCGAATTCCAGGGGCCTCTATACCCCACCCTCCCCAGGCTTGTCGGACCCGGATCCGCTCGCTGCCCCAGCAAGGCTCCCATCCGTCCATGCTGCACCCTCCATGCTCCCCTCCCTGCACGGCTCCCCCTCCTCTCCCTCCACATCGCAGAGGCTCCCCGGCCGCCGCCTCGGCCAGTCTGGCTCCTTACGAGGCCCTTCCTCTGCGGCACAGGTGACGTGGGCTCGCTGGGAGGACCCCCTGCGTCCCGGGCGCGTCTCCACCGGCCTGCGGGGACCCTAGAGCAGGATGTGCCTGCCTCGCCCCGTCCCTCCCGCCACGGTGCTGACAGGGCCAGTGTCTGAGAGTGACCTCCCTGCCAGGGTCCTGCATCCCAGGCCCACTGTCCGGTGGAGTGAGCCTTCATTAAGCTTCCTTTACACCAGTGGTTCCCAGCGTGGGGCACACGCCCCACAGGGGTCAACTGGATTTTTCAGGGGGGCAATTCGAGAATGAGTTATGCACAGTGAACTCTGTGCATTTCTTATGGCTCTAGGGGCCTCATATACAGTCTATAAATATATATTGTGACATATGCATGCATTTTAGTTCTCTATTATGTGTTTGAAACTTTATTTCCTATGTTTCCATACCACTTCATATTATTATTATTTTTTTCACAATTTCTTAGTGGTTTCTTTCTCAGGACGTCCACTGTCCTTTTGTTCTTTTATGTTTCTCTTTCACGGCTGCCGTGTTCTTTGGAAGCTTGTGTAGACCAAGTTCATGGCCCTTTAGGCTGCCTCCCCATGAATAGGGCTTCGCTTTTTGAATGATAAGAATTCTATGTCACCGGGGGAGGGGGCATCAGGATTTTAGAGGCTTCGGTGGGGCGTGGCCAAGAAGAGGTTGGGAACCACTGGTTCACACGGATGGTCACAGGAACGCAGGAGCAGGTGCTCAGCCCGAGGTGCCGGCTCCCACTCCGACGCTCTCACAGGATTGGACTCAGCTGGGGGGGCTGTTTCGCGTGGAACTCCAGGCTCCGAGCAGGAAGCCACTGGCAGGATGTCTCCCAGCCCAGCGGTCAGCAAACTGCGGCTCGTGAGGCACATGCGGCTCTTTGGCCCCTTGAGTGTGGCTCTTCCACAAAATACCGACTTTTGCGCATGGGCCACGAAGTTTCAATCGCACCGAACGTGTTTCAATTGCACTGTATGTGCGCACCTGCACGTGGTATTTTGTGGAAGAGCCACACTCAAGGGGCCAAAGAGCCGCATGTGGCTCGCGAGCCACAGTCTGCTGACCACTGTCCCAGCCTGACAGGCCCCGGCTGACATTCTCCCTATCACCGCGCCCATGAGCACTCTCACTCCCCACTTCCCAAGTGAGAGACGGCACCTGGACCACCCAGGACACCTGCCTGAGGCCCTGGGGTGTCAGGAGGCACCTGCCTGAGGCCCTGGGGTGTCAGGAGGCACCTGCCTGAGGCCCTGGGGTGTCAGGAGGCACCTGCCTGAGGCCCTGGGATGTCAGGAGGCACCTGCCTGAGGCCCTGGGGTGTCAGGAGGCACCTGCCTGAGGCCCTGGGATGCGGTCGTTCGGGAGGGAGCTCCTGAGCGACCACTTCCGCTCCGTGGCGAGTCCCCTGTCTGGTTGCATTAGAGTTTTACTGAGCAAGTGCCGACGGGCTGGGTGATCACAGCTAATGGAGTGGATCAGGGAGGAGAAGTTCAGCAGAAAGACTCTCTGGCTCCTGCTGTTGCAAGTCAATCAGCGGGTGAAGAGGAGTGAACGGGAGACTCTTCCTGGGCAGCACCCCCAAACCTCCACGACCCCGAAGCCCAGGAGGGACACGGACAGGGCAGCCCAGTCACCCCTCGCCCCGCACGAGCAGGGGTCTGCGTGTCAGGACCCTCATCCTAGGAACACGGCTCAGGTGGACCCTCCCAGGCGGCTTCTCAAATCAGCCGCGGGAAACCCCGGTGCAGAATCACACTTAAAACAACAACTCCAGTGTTCCCCCAAAATGCTTCCCATCCCTGTGTTCCCCCAAAATGCTGGCCCCCAAACACGGGGAGGGGACAGGGTCAAAGTGACACTCACCACCACGTCTGTCCTCATCTTCCCGAAAGTCGTGATCAAATGGGCATAATGATAATCTTCCATCTGCCGCAAAATCGCGGTCATGCAAGCCACGAAGTTTCCCTGCAGAGGAATCAGAAGACACAGTTAGACGGGGCGGGGGGCGGGGTGGGGGGTGGCGGGGAGAACAACACCCTTGGGAAAAGTGGGTATCCACCAGGAGTCTGGGCTGGAACTGGCAGCGCGAAGCCGCCACATCTGCCACCCCTGGCGGCCACCAGAAGGCGAGTGGTCACTCCACCCTCACAATCTTTCTTTTCTTTTTCTCCCCCCACCCCCATTCCCTTCTCTCTCGCTGCATTAAATCAGTGCTTCCTGACCAGGGCTGGTCCAGGCTGGAAAAACAAGCTTTAAGTATTTTCGTATTAAACAGCCAGAAGTTAGAGACCGGACTGCAACCACAGCTCCTCTGCCTGTGCTCTGGTCACGGCTGCCCTGACCGCACGGTGTGTGCGAGCCCTTGACCGGGGCCGGGCCCACGGAGGCCTTTCCTTCCCCAAGTCCCGCCGGCGCCCCTCGGAGGCAACCCCTCCCGCTCACAGTGAACTACGGCCCGTTCTCCTCCGCGAGAGGAATGTGCGGAGCGTGGGCTCCGCAGAACGTAAAGTGGCGACGGGGATCTCTCAGGGCGGACAGGCTGGGGGGAAGGAAAAGGAGGAGGAAAACGGAAACCGACCAACAAAATCAAGACCCGGAGAAGCCAAGGGCTGAAGCAGTTAGCAGATGGAGGCAGCCAGCATGCATGCGGCGGTGTGCGTGCACATGTATGTGTGCAGGTCTGTGCATGTGCATGTGTGTGCACGCAGGTCAGCGCATGTGTGTGCAGGAATGTGCATGCTTGTGTGTGCAGGGATATGCCTGCGAGTGTTTGTATGTGCAGGTGTGTCCATGTGCGTGTTTGTAGCTGTGTGTGTGTGTGTTGTTGTACAGGTCTGTTTGCATGCATGTTTGTGTGCGCCTATCTGTGCATGAGTACACATGCAGGCCTGTGCATGTTTGTGCGTGCGCCTGTGTTCACATGTGCACATGTGTTCATGTGTGCAGGCCCATGCATGTTTGTGTGTGCGGGTGTGTGCATGACTGTAGGGGATTTATTTGGCAGGTGGGCAGGCGGCTAAGTGGTCCCATTGCCTTTGACTGCCATGTATCACACTTTGGGGTTCATGGCTAACAACATCTTAAAAGCCTTCCTTGCTCTTCAGTATTTCATCCTAAATTAATGACATTTTAAGAAACAGAGGGCATACATTTTCTCCCATTAAACCAGTACAAGTGCAGTAAAATTATAGGATGAGAAATACTTTCAGACATGCCTTAATTCTGCCTTATTAAATGAGTTCCCAAATTGCATTCTTTTACGAACTCTACTTTTACAAGCAGTATATTTGAATGCCTAAATGTCTTCTGCATTAATTTGAGATTCACTCTCTGCAGTGAAATGCTGAAGTCCAATCTTGTTCCAATTCATTCTGCATCTGCAGTACACACACATGCTTCCCAACGAGTCGTCCACGGGTGCATTCCATAAATTGAACAAATACAGTGATGATAGGATGGTGCCTTCCATTTGCCCAGAAATGTAAATTATTTGTGAACAATAATAATTGCTGAGGTTTAGATTCCAAGTTGGGGTTCAGAAAAAGAGCTAAATAATGTGTTTATTATAATAATAAGTTTTCCACTGGAGGAATGAGTTCTGACATGGCAAAATGTCTATTTATGAATATAAACTTTTTAAAATCCTCACAGGAGGATATGCTTTTAATGATTTTTAGAGAGAGAGAGGAAGGGAGAGAGAGAGAGAGAAACATCGATTGGTTTCCTTTCATATGCTCCCCAACTGGGATGAAACCACAGCCTAGGTATGTGCCCTGACCAGGAATTGAACCTGCAACCTCCTAGGGTATGGATGATGCTCTAGCCACCTGAGCCACACAGCCAGATACATAAATTTATCTCAAGATACATAAATACTTGGCCTCCCGTTGAGTTCAAGAGAAGCCGCTTTTGCAACTTCTCTGTGCTATGAGATGGGGTCATGGTCTTCACATGTTGATCAAGTACAACGAGCCGTCGGAACCACGGCCCATCAATGCCCCATAGTCTCTGCGGGTCCATCTGATAGGCCGTGACCCTGAGCTGCTCCCTCTGAGAGAGTGAACGGCTACCAGGCGTTGCTTAGCAGCCCCGCTCAATCTTTCCCTCTCATCCGGAGGCACATGCGAGTCCTGAGAGCTCCGAAGCCTCTGCTGGTGGCCCCCGGAGGCAGGGACCCGCTGTCCCACCCCTGCAGGTGGAGAGAACGCTGGCTGAGGGAGAGGAAAGGTAACGGCCGCCATAGATCATGCCCAGCTTCGGCGCTGATGGAGGGAGCTGGCCATGACCTGGACTCCACCCCTGCCCCCCCCAGGGGAGCTTTTCTAGAGCAAGAGGAGGCCCGTATTGGCCACGGTGCCCCTCACATGGGCTCACGTTCATTTTCATGTTAAACAACGGCGACTCGCACTCTACAATCACCTACGTCACAAGCCAGCTGTGTCCGACCAGAAGCGATATACGAACTGCTGACCTTGAAACACCCAGTTCAATCAGAAAAGCCAGAGCTCAGAGCGGACTTGAGGATGCCGAGGGCATGGGCACTGCCAGCCACCGAGAGTGGGGACGTGGCCGCTCTCACCGAGGGGCAGGAGGCCTGGGGTGCTGAGGGACCCCCGCGAGGCCAAGGCGGGGAGCGGCCGTGGTGCAGAAAATGACACACTAACGTGATAAGGGAGCGATTTCCACAGAGCAAGGCCCGGAAGGCGTCCGCAGCCGGTCGGGAAGTCTGCACGGTGGGCGAGCACGTCAGAGAGAAGGCAACCCAAGGCCTTAGCAAGGATGGGGGATCCACTAAAGGAGCCCCGGGAGAGGGGCCGAGACGGCCGTCACAGGCAGAGGTCGGAAGGCCGGGCGGGGCAGACTGCTCTTCACTTAACCGGAGGGAATGTTCCAGAAGGATCCGTACCGTTCAGTCCTTCTAAGAAGCGAGTCTTGCAATTTCAGCTCTTTTCTAACCGAAACTGATGGACCCGCTAGGCAAGGGGCCAGGGGCCTGGTAACACGCCCAGAGCGGCGCCTCCCGCTCTCTGCGACGGGCCCGCCCCCGGCACCAGGCTTTTCAGGGAGAAAACACCAGGCACCGTGGAGCTTTCCCGCCACGTGGCCCCACGGCGGCGCGAGGGCAGTTACGTGAGCAGCCACGGAAGCGCGTTTGATGCTGATTACACACTGGAAGCAGAAACGGGAGAACTGTGAAAAGTTTTGTTTTTAAAATATATTAGAAAGAGAGAGAGAGAGGGAAAGAGAGATGGAGAGAGAGAGAGAGAGAGAGAGAGAGAGAGAGAGAGAGAAACATCAACGATGAGAGAGAATCACTGATTGGCTGCCTTCTGCACGCCCCACACTGGGGATGGAGCCCACAACGCAGGCCTGTGCCCTGACCGCGAATCAAACCCTGATCTCCTGGTTCCTCGGTTGCCCCCAAACACCGAGCCACACCAGCCGGACATGTGAAAAGTTTTATTCTGCAGGCTCAGAAAACAACATGACTGTGTGTGGCTTTGCATTGATTTATTTGAAATGCATTTAGAAGTCAAATGAAGCTTTTACTTCACACAACGGGGAGGTTGGCAGCTCAGCTGGTGGTGGGCGCCCAGCCTCCTCCTCGAACCTGAGCCTGGGCGCCGGGTCCCAGCCCCCAGGGCTGAGCAAAAATGAATAAATAAATAAAACTCAAGACATTTTCCTTACGACTTCAAAGCAATGCCAAGCAGGGGCAGGGACGGCAGGGTGCGGCTGCAGGAGACTTAAAATTCAGGACACAGGATGCCTAATAAACAAAAATTGTGAACTTCATTAGCAATCAAAGATGAAGATGACGCCGCGTTATTTGCTCGCCAAAATAGCAAGAAGCGCCGAGGTGAGGAGGCTGTTGGCGAGGGTGCGGGCGTGGAGCGCTCTCAGGCACCGCTGGTGGGAGCCCAAATTGCTGTAACCTTTTTAAAAAGTGATTTAGCAATCGCTTTGAAAAGTCTCGGGAAAAATACTCAGCTCCTCCGTAATTCTACTTCTCAAATCCACCGAGGTCGCAATTCGAAATCGGAAACTTTGTGCCAAAGCTGTCCATCGCATCGCTGGGAGCATCTGCGTGTCCGGCAGCAGGGCCTGTGCACACAGGGTGATGTTGGGTGGGACTGCAAGATAAACCACTGAAGGGCGAGTCCACGCGGATCTCAGAGGAGCAGACAAAAACAAGGAGGTCCCAAATCCTGCAACGGAAGCACCACACGGGAGATCCGGCTACTAAAAATCTATGTGTTGTTCGGCCTGAACCAGGAGGTCACGGTTTAATTCCTGGTCAGGGCACAGGCCCAGGTGGTGGGCTCGATCCCCAGTTGGGGACCTGCAGGAGGCAGCCAATCTCTCTCTCTCTCTCTCTCTCTCTCTCTCTCTCTCTCTCTCCCTTCCTTTCCCTGAAATCAATAAAAATATGTATTTTTTAAAATCTATGTGCTATTTACTGGAGTTCAGATCGAACCTGGTGTCCTGTATTTCTCATTTGCTAAGTCAGCAACCATACCAGAGTGCTGTGATAAAATACTATTCCAACGTTAAAACATTAAACGTTAACCATGCAAATATGAAGTAGTTTCCTAACACAAGAAAACGCTGGGAGAACAAACCTGGAGATGATCACCTGTACATTCCACAAAAGAACACAGCACAGGAAAAAACGGAATGAAGAAACGACTAGAGAAAAAGACCCCAGAGAGTCATCAGGGGCGGGGGAATGAGCCCAGATTACATTTATAAACCACAGATCTGTTCATATTTTATAAGGGAGCCTGAGAGACAAAGATCTCACCTGGCAGCAAGTCCCCCCGTTCCTACTCCCTTATCCTCAAAAGTCTCCTTCTCAGGGCTCCCCCGTCCATGTGGGCCTGGTCACTGCTTTGCACGGCCCCTCCGGCCCGGGGCTGGACTTGCCTCTGAGCACTCCTAGATGCGGAGTGTCCAACCTGTTT